CCCCTTCTAACTTCTACCTTTTGTTAGTTGGGTGGGGTTTTTTGGTTTGGTTTGTTTTTTTCCCTCAAACAATCCCAAAATGCCTTGAATGGCAGAACAAGAAAGACCTGGAGCCTAGCGGCAGTATGAAATTACTTGATATGGATTACTATGAATGTTTATCTAGTGGCACTGTGGAAGTGACTATGCAGTACTGCGTGAGGTGGTTAGGGATTTATGTTGACTTGTAATAATATTAAACCTGTTGGGTTTTTCATCGGTGTTTTCCCGATGATAATTAAGTAAGGAGTAATTTCTCTGGCCTGGAATAGAACAGAATATATGTCAAAGTGAAAAAGTGATCTCCTGTCTTCATTGTGTGTCTTACCTGAAGTTGTCAGTCTAAGTCCTCATTGCAATAATTATTTTTGTTGCCTGGAAAGCTGTATGAAAATGTCCTTTTATGATAACATTGACCTTTGTGTTCACAATCTGAGAAGTAGGTGTCAGTATGTGTAAGCCATGGAGATGAAAGATGAAATAATGATACTGTCATATGTTTTAATGAACTAACATGAACTGAATATGCAGCAGCATTATAGTTTGAAAACTATGATGATCAAGATAAGAATCTGCCCATATTTAATGTGCACACTCACGTTGTTCATTCTCAGTGTCATCCTTCCAGCTCCTCAAAGCTGTATGCTTAGAGGATGCAGGGTTTTTTTGTGCTACTGTCTTTACCTATGAAACCCACGACAGTTAAAAGCTAAATGGCAAAAAAGTTATTTACTCTGTAAAAACAAAACGAAATCCCACAAAAAAAAACAAACACCAAAAACCAAACCAAAACAAAACAATAACAACCAAAAAATCCCAACAAATCCACCCCTCCGAGTTACAGGTTTGACGAGGAAGTTGCACAGTTGGTGACTGATCAAGCTTGTGACTGAACAAAGCTGTACTTTCAAAGAAAGGCAATCCAGTTGCCCAAAAGTAAGGTTTAGACAGAGGTTCAAGGAGTTTTAGGTAGAATGTTACCGAAGACATAGAAGATCTCTGTCTATATATATATATCTATTTTCAGAATTTTTCTTTTTTTAGTTTATCATTTTCTCCAGTAAACAGGATGAATTGCAACTAGGCATTGACCTCAGGCCAAAAATAAAAGAGCACAGATCCAGCAGTTATAAGCTAAAATAGTATTCCCTATATGCAAGGGCAGTAATAGTTGGATACCTTCAAGATTGATAGCTGTAATGAATAAAAGTTGTTTGAAAGTAAAGAGCAGACTTGAGCAAGCTCTTGTGTGACATTGAACAAGTCAAAAATGGCTATCTTCCTGTGGGGGGTGTGTATGTGTGTTAGAATTCAAGTTGGGTTTCTATAAATTGAGCTGAACTTTGTGTCTCCCTTCTCATCTATTAAATGTTCTGGAAGTTTCAGCTTAATTTATGGCCAAATGCCAACCTTTTCCAGGTTCATGGAAAGACTCCTACTAGAGTATATAAGAGACGCTGCAAGAAGGAATAAAATCCACCCACATTTTAATACTGGTTTTCATGACGATAGCCGTATGAGACTATACTCATCTGGCAAGTAAATGCTTCCAGCTTGTCTCATGAAGCTATTTTTTTTTTTTTTTTTAATATTCCTGGTTGCATTACTGGACCTATTTTATAAACCTTTATCATTTGTTCTATGCGTAATGTTTACCAAGTGAGCATTGTTATCTCTCAGTAAGTGGTTAATTGTTCCTTTGATCATTCTACACATTGTTTCAAGCCATAAAAATGACATGCTAATGTTCTAAACCCATAGTTAAATAAATGAACTGTATTTAACTAAATACAAGACAAAAACACAGCTGCTTAGAGCTGGAGGCTGCAAAGTGTGCTGATAGCTACCTGTAATCTGTCGAATTTCTATAGCTGCCACTGAGGTTGATGAAAAAGCCCTAAGTATGAATCTGTTCTGAATGTCAAAATATACCCTAGAATAGTCAGAAACCATTGAATCCACCTTTAGCTCTTAATATATTCTCTATGTATTTCCTGTATATTGCTAAATATAGCACATATACCAGCTGGTCATGTTTGCCTGTCAGCTGTATTCTTCTTTCCTGGAAATGCTCTGAATTCTCAAACCTGTTTGAGACAAGAAAGTATGTAAATTGTCTGGGTGACTTTATGGAGTAAGCCAGATTTTAATATTTATTATGTTTGCCCACATACACACATCTGTGCACAAAAGGTCTCATGTAACTCTATATACACCTATGTCTATGTAATGTGCTTTTCTCTTTCATGGGTAGTATATAGTATAGACATGCTAAGTCTATATACAAACCTGGATGTACGTGAGCTCGAAGGGTTACTGGGAGGCTATACACTGACATTTCACGTGCACTGAAATAGCTCCACTTCTGAGTATGAGCCCACTACGTATGCAGTGCCTGTATAAACCACAGAAGAAATGCCTGTTCTGTGAAGTCTAGTGTTTTGCGGTTAGCATGTACTTGGGATAGCCCACATTGTTAGCCTAATTTAAATGGCCTCGTTTAGAGCCTTGACACACTCAATAGGTGAAATATCTGAATGTTTTGCACAATAATTTGTTTCATATGGGATATAAATTGCACCCTGAATGTGTCCAGTGTCTTTCCACCCACAACAGAGCTTTGACAGGCAGGGCAGGCTTAGTTTGTCTGAAACAAAGCTGTCTTAACTTAGCTGTCTGGAATTATGTGGTTGTTTAAGGTAGAGCTGATACATCTTGTCTACTAGTAGTTTATCTAATAGTTCTTATTGTAAGCTTGGTTTCAGTTGCCTATTAGTTTGTCTGATATTAACTGGTTGGATGAACGGTTGACATGCTTAGCATCTGTATCAAGGTGACTACTTCTTTTTGAAAACATAGTAATAGTGGTCACAGTAAAGTGATATGAGGAGTGATAAGGTTATTTTGGCCATGTGAAAATTGCAACGTTTGTTTTGGAAAAAAAAACCAACCCACACCAATTTAAGGGCTTTGAAATTTTATCTTCTGTTGTCAGGGCTGCACCTTTGATTTTCTCTCAGTTACATTTCTAAAATACTTGGGGGAAGAAAATTACATGAATAGTGGAAGCTTTCTGAACCTTGACAGTTAACTTTCCCCAGAGTGATTAGCGCATAGAGCAAATTCAATTTTGAGGTAGAGTCTGTCCTTGAAACTGTTGTTCATAACTATATACTATGGACTTTTTTGTTTTAAGAAGGGAAAGCAGCAGTAACTGAGTCGGTGCTCCACTTTTGGTTGAAGAGAAAAGAGGTAGCTGTCAAATAAAAAAAGTGGCAAACTTTTCCCATTTTCCATTTTCCTGGTGCCTCACTCCCTTGAGCTTCAGAAATGGACGAGGAAACCACTAGTACTGAAATAAAAATGGGGTAAGAGCCGAGTGTTGGCTGATGCTGGAGGAGGACCACGTATTTTTTTGCACCCTCTCTTGCTTACATGCAATTAATCTAGTCTCAGAAGCAAAATGCCGGTGTGACAGGGTTAATAGCTTAGCTTTGGTGCTCCACTGGCACAGCTGTACTAGTGGGGATCATGGGCATCTTCTCTCTGACACCAAAGAAACAGACAAGAAACAGCAATATCTGACTGAACATCTTCATTTTGCTTGGGATAATATGTATTTGTGGGTATGAAGGTGTCTCGTGCTTCAACCTGGAAAGAGCACATCAATAAATTTAAGAGGTTTTTCTGGGGGTGAAAAAAAAAATAGTAAAATTAGTAAGACTGAAACAGGTCCATGTGCATGAAAACCCATAAAAGTAAGTAGTGCAGTGACTGGCACATGATGCAGTTCTTATGTCAGCCTTCAGTTTCACTAATAGTAACAAGCAGAGAGATTTGGCAAACAATTTCCCCTAAGCTTATTTACATGTCACTTAAACACACAAACGTTCACCTTCAATCCTTATTAGGTTCTCTTCAGTTGTGTTTGTTTAGGAGAAGTGTAGAAATGGGATAGTCTTTGCTTTGGTGCCCTCTTGTGGGTTCATATATTGGATATACTGGTCAAGTTACACTTCTAACAAGTTTGCTGTTATTAAGGGGTATAATAAATATTAATTGTTATTGCTCAAGGTGTGTTCAGACAGCTTGCACCATCCCATGTGGGATGTTCTTTGCTTTCAACTGGCACTTATATGTATGTTGGACTTTTTGTCCAGAGACCGTTAGCTGCCTATATGTAACTGAACCCATATTATGTTCATGTTGTCATGTGTATTGGTCTTAGGCAATTGTGGGAATATTGCAGATAGCAGGGCTGGACACTTGGGGAATATTTATGTTATGGTGCAGATGACCGGCTCATCTTTGCATTCCCCTGTCTGCACACCTCCCCTCTATTTAAGAATGGCTGAAGTTAAGAGATAGAAGGTAAAATGAGAAGATTTTTAGAGATAAATCGGAAACACACACATATTTATGCTTTGCCTAGGTAGAGGTACATTATCACATGTGTTTGTGTTGATACAGGATAATCTCTTCCCTACTAACTTCAGTTCATTTTCACTTACGTGAAGTTCTCGCTTACGTGAAAAAAATAAAGGCTCTGCCAATTTGCAGCCACTGATGTTTGGTTTTAATATTCCTTCTCTTGAGCTCAGTTTTATTATGTCATTTTTTTTTTTTGTTGCTGTTTTTTCTGAGGAAAAAAACCCTGATTAACCATTTTGGAGATCTGTAACAGGGGACACACAATGATTTAGTTGCTGGATTTTGCAGCAGGTTTCTGTCAAGTCCAAAGGATTGGTATTGCTTGTCTCAACAGAATTGTGAAAAATATTCCTAACAACTAGTGCTGTATTTAGTAAGTGAATGTTTGAAGTCTTATTCACTGCTCTTGTCCTGTTTTAAAAAGAAACATGCAGTTGTTTAACTGGAAGCTGCCTGTGCCGGTGTGTAGCGGATAGCATCCAGTTTGAGTGTTAAATGTTTTGCTTTCCAAATACCTTATTTTCCTTTAGGGCAAGCAGCAGTCCTGTGGGGTGGTGGGCACAGCTGAAGCTGCTCAGGGAAGGGGTTTGAAGGCAGAAGCTGTGGAGCTGGGCAGCCTTGCTTTCCAGCTGGGGGAAGAGGCTGTCTGGGGGCTGCAATCAGTTGGGCTGAGTTTGCTGCAACTCTCCAGCAGTCCAGAATCTTACAGAATCACAGAACCATTAGGGTTGGTGGGACCTCCGGAGATCATCTAGTCCAACCTCCCTGCCCAGGCAGGGCCACCTAGAGCAGGTTACAAAGGAATGTCTCCAGGTGGGTTTTGAATGTCTCCAGAGAGGGAGACTCCACAAGCTCCCTAGGCAGCCAGGGCTCTGCCACCCTCAATGTAAAGTAGTTCTTCCTCATGTTGAGGTGAAACTTCTTGTGTTTTGGTTTATGGCCATTGCTCCTCACCCTGTTGCTGGGCACCACTGAAAAGAATCTCTGAAGAGAGATAAAGTCCCCAACATGAAGTAGGATCACTCAAACTTACCAGCTGTGTTTTAAGATAATCCAATGCAAATGACCTTTGTGTGCGTACAGATAATTTATAATGGCATAATTATCCGTCCTCCCTCTAGGTTCTTTTTAGACTGTGTTACATCAGTTTTTTAATTATTTTTTTTAATTTATTTACAGCTTCCTTATTGTGCTGATATGCCTTATCTTCAGTGTGCTTTCTACAATTGAACAGTACGCAGCTCTCGCTACAGGGACGTTATTTTGGATGGTATGTATGTAGACGTTAAAGCAATTGATGTACATTCGTTCTTAATGTGCAAATTCTGATCTCATGAGTTAATAGCATATCTAGCAGAATGTTCATTATGGTTGAATTGACAAGAGGCTTTTCTGCTTTTCCCTAACGAGTCTGTGAAGCCACAGAAACACCAGAAGTCATAGTAGCACAAAACTCTTGTATGCTGTATACTGAGGGCATCTGTGTGGTATCTAACACACATGGCTGTTCTAAGTAAACTTGAATCCCTTATATTGATCAGGTTAAGGCATTTTTCAGTCATACTGAAGGCCAGACACCTTACCGTAGAGGGGGAAATGACTAAGTGGAAGTCCTCTCTTTTAGTTGATGTCAGATTTGTCTTTTTTTCGCAAGTGGAAAACTCATGTATTTTTATTGACTTTAGGGTTAAGACAACTTGCTCCCCCTGTCATACTCATTTTCCCTTTATTAAAGAAAGCATACTTAGCTTTTGTTTATAGTACACTGGTGCTACAACAGATATGTAGCAAGAAGTGTTCTGAGAGTACTACTGTTCTGCCAGCTTAGATTTCATTGAGGAGCTTTAGTTTTGAATTTGCAGAAACATGGTTTTAAACATACAAAATATTTATACATTTGTGCTCAGTGTATGTCCATGGTGGGTTACTCCCTGCTAAATCATTTATTTCCCTGCATTTGTAAATAAATGACCATTACTTTGCTTGTGAAAACACTGTATTGAGAAAATGCTAACTAGCAATTTAAATGTTTGTTCAACGTAGTTCTTGTAGCGGTGCACCAGTAATATTGTTATGTATGATATCATTAACAGGAAAAACTTCACTTTAAACCCAGATAAATTATTATAATTTTTGTCATTTTATCTATTCAGTATACTAAGGTTTTATACCTAATATGAATAATGTAAGAATAAGAATATATAGTATATATGAAATTGTCAGTCATACTATTTCTATTCAAGGTACTTTCATGCCTGGTATAAAATCTTTCACTGACTTGGAAGATATTTGAACTTTATACTTAGTTTCCAGCTAAGAGAGTCTATACAGGTGTTTCTTTTGTTGTTTTGTTTGTTTGGCCTTTTTTTTTATCCATAACTAACAGCTATGGATACTTCTACCAATTTCTGTGATGAATTTCACTTGTGATATCTCACTTATCTTTGCAATATATCATAATGTTTTACATGTGTGGGTTTTTTTCAGTGAAATAACTTCTAGTGACAGCATCACTAGTGATTTTTTCTTTTTTCCTTAAAAGCATGGAATTAATTCTGTATGCTCATACTGTATGCAGTATGTATTGTCTGCATGTGTGTAATACATTCAGTGTAATATGTATGCAGTGCATTCAGGATTACATACAATGTATGTAATATCCAGTATGTGTTGGGTGTTCTGTTTTATCTTTCTAAGTGGTGTGAATCAGTGAAAAACTATGGTCAACTTTTAACATTGAAGTTCTACTATAATGGTTTCTTGGAAATTCAGCAGTATTTGTTTGTTCAGTAATGTCATATTCTGGTATTGTTTTCTTAAAAGATTAACTGTGGTAGTTTTCAAGAAACTTAAGTGGCTTATGGTGACCCATCTGTCCGCAGCAGTAGATGGGCCAATGTGTTCTCTGTTCTGTCCAGTTTTGGGGGACTTTCAAAGGAGTTGTGGCACCTTGCAACACAAATATAAATATCAGAATCTGCTTGTTGTTAGTGTCTACCTCGTAAAATTCCCCATTTTGTTCTTATTTTAAGATTTTACTTTCACCTCTAATGTATCATTACAAGCAGTAAAGATTAGATGTAAAAATTAGATGTAACTGAATTGTTAAAGAGAGAGTTAAACACAGATGACTGGTTGAAGAGAAACTATAAAATGCAAAGAAAGTGTAACAGCATACAGGGATTAAAAAAAAAACAAACCAGGAAAAAAGCACAGTGCAAGCTTCTAACCCAAATAGTGATGTAAGGAGACTTACTAAAGCTTAGGAGAGCACTCTTTCTACTGCTTTGCAGTAGGAATTAGTTTCTCTCTTTTTTTTTTTTTTTTTTTTTTTTTAGAGGACCTTTTAGTTATGCCACAACAATAGTTTTAATTTGGATCCAGATAATGAAAGTAGGTAACACTGACATTGTAGGTGAGCAAAGAAGGGCAAACAAATACTGAGAGAGATCTCAAAGTTGCAGCAGGGTAGCAACAACCTACCAGGAGGAGTATGAGAATCTTGAGGAAGGCTTTTCTGCTTGGGTTTAAGTGGGGCAGTGAGAAGGAGGGAACCTTTGGCCATGTAGAATTTTAAGTTTATAAGACCACAAATCATTCCATGAAGCTTAAGGTATGTTGCCTGAGTATATGCTCTGTGAGATTAAAATAATTAAAGTAACACAGACCTTTAGCAATTTCTTTTGAAGATTATAAAATTGAGAACCTTTCCGTATATGCATTCCAAAGGGAAAATTATTGAAGCTTTCTCAAGAACAGACTGCCTTTTATTTTTGTCATAATTTCTTATGTAGGGTAGAATTCTCTCTGAATTACACATTGTAGTGCATCAAATATAAGGCTGAAGTACGTAGTGGTATCAAATGTGCAGTGTCATGCTTTGAAATTTTGCCTATTTCAGATTTGTGGACTTCTTATATTTTGGTGGGAGGGAGACTTTGACGAGGTAGCCACAGGTTTGGAAATCTGAGAAGTGACTACCATGCTGAATGTCTGGAAATAAGTGCTCAGAGTTAGCATGTGAGTATGCTGAGCTGAGCAGCCCCATGGAGCAAGTCTGATTAGATGAGCTTACTGCATGGGTACTGGAAATCTGATTCATCTTGAGAATGACGTGAAATTACTGTAAAAACGTGTATGTTATAAGCAAACTGCTGTTGTTACAGAATCCCTTCTACAACTCACTTGTGAGTTGCATGGCATTAAAATGCATGTTGAGAAAAGCACAGAATCTGTTCCTCCTGACTGAAAAACTATTCAGACAAGACCCTTGAAAACACTTGCAATTAAGACCTATGCTGCTTTATATCCTGTATGTAGCCAGAGTATTTTGCTCTGACCCTGTGAAAGATCGAAGTACATATACAACTTCAGCAAATACTCTTTTTGAAACCAAGGAGACTGGTCACATTAGAGTTAGAGATGGAAGTTTTGTGCCCATTTTTATGAACAAGACTCTCATGCTTCAATAATACAGTCATACAAGATATTATAATTACATGAAAATAAGAGCTAGAAGAGTTGTTGAGATTATATTATTTATTTTTTTTTATTTTGCTTGCTTTATAATAGTGCCTCCAACTACGAGAGGAGAAAATAGAAGATACCAATAATTTTATAGCATTTTAAAAAGCTTCTGTTTTTCATAACAATAAGAAAAATGCAAGTTTAACAAGTGGAAAAATAAACAAGGGAAAGTTTATGTGTGTTGCAAGTGGTGTTCCAGTTTTAGACAAAAAGCTTACAATTAGCTGCTGAATCTTTCTCTACTTGTCACCACACTTCACAAGGCAAAGAGCCTTGATGAAAGCTATACCTAAATGCAGTTGTAATGGGAGATTAGGAGAGAATTGGCCTTTTGTTAGTTTCCAGAAAGCAGGGAAAACTGTTTAAATTTGCATGTGTTTATTTTATCTTTCTTTCACTAGATGGTGCTGTTGGAGGGGTTTGACTGCAGTTACTCGTTGGCACTTGCCCAGCGTGAGCTGGAGTCTGAGCCAAGACTGCGAAAGGATCATCATTTTGAAGGATATATGTACACTTGGCCCGTTTAAAATACTGGTGCGGGAGAGCTTTTGCCATGACTCATAAGGAGAATGTGGTATATCTGTGTAAAAATTGATTTTGAGACTACAATATTTAAACTGTGGAAAAAAGTAATTCAGAGATGCATGTTCCCAGAGAGGCCGTATTTTTCTTTTATTTTCATAAGCAAGGATTTTATGGTGCCAGAACACAGCAGAATGCTGTTATCTCAGCATGATCTAAGAAAATCCAAGTGCCTGATCCAAGGGGATTAAGTATTCTGCTGAA